ATCCCTTATTTTTTTTATATATTTTTAGAAATGGCACATACATCTATAATATCTAGCACTCTGATTGCTAGTTACAAGAATGGGAAACCTACTTTATTTTGACTAGATATTACAAAGTGCATATTGTACAATAACATGTCCTATAAACTGCACTAAAAAACGGTATTTTTTATTTATGTAAAAAAGTTATGAACCGTTATAAATTTGTCATATATATAGAGCATCCAAAAAGGAAGTGATATTAATTATAAGAATTGCAATAGCTATGATCTCACATTTTGGCATTAAAAAATTAAAACAAATATAAATTTATCAGTATGAAATTTCTTTTTCAATGAAATTTGTATTACCTATGTTTACTGAATCGAACAAACTTTTGAAGTTCCATGGGATTCATCCATAGCAGCTGCTCGTCTTTTTATACCTTCTAAATATATTTCACGATTGAACAAACCTCCACCAAGAGGAATACTACAAGAGATGTTAAATCAAAGAATATATTTTGAAAATATTTGTATATTACACAAGTCGTAAATACGTACGTGTCAATACCAGGTCTTATGGTCGTCTTAAAAACACCCCAAACTGGTTTATGATCTGAAGTGCAAATGCTTGGTACAGAATCATAGACTAAACATTCTATAACTCCATCTTTATATGAATTAGAGTTTTCATGACTGACTCTTCGAATGTATCCTCTTGTATGCCCTTTTCCTTTAAAAAGAATTCTATCGGTATATGCAGGTGTGCGTTGTTTACTGCTTGAATCAAAATTGTGTGTTCCAGGATCATATTTATATGTTGGAGGAAAAGTAATTGGTGCTTCTTCAAAGCCACGTAAAACAGCTCCTTCATTAAGAATTGCTTGTAATTGGTCTTTGTGCAAATTTACTGGTGATTGCTGTGGAAAGCATGTATCAGTAACCCATTGGATAACTTCCTCTCTTGGTTGAGCGAGTCGAAAGTTTAAATCACCGCACCAAAATACACAATCAAAATTTTGAGTTACATCTAAAAATACAATATTCATT